GGTTTCCGGTGGGCTCACCTTTCACCTTCCGAGGAGGCTCTGTCTAATGGGCATGTGCGTGGACCCCGTGCTTTCCGCAGGTAGGGCAACGTGACTCCCAGAGGCAGTGATTTGCTGGTTCTGCCAGAAAACCCCGTGGGCTCCCCAGAGTCGCCCGAAGCCTTCGCCTGGGGTTGGAGACCCCAGCAGCTACGGCCCTCTGCGAGGTCTGGAGGTGTCCACGGGGAGCCAGCGTTCAGAACGGAGGAACACTGGCCTTGGGAGGAGATGGACGCCGCGGGGACCTCACACATGAGGAAATGGGGCGTGGGGAGCAGAAGTGGTTCGATCCCACTGTCAGACCGAAACCGGAACCGGGTTCACTTCCCCTCCACCAGTCCTTTCTCACCACACATCACCCGCACTCTCCTCCCGAAACTCCAATGTGTTTCGAGTTTGGGGGGCGGGGCGCCTACCTGGGCCCAGATGTGAGATAACCAGGTAGGACCCTTGGGGGCCAGGCTCACAGGGGGCCCCCGATGTCCGGAAAGCTCCTGTGTGTCCACGGGCTGTGTCATTTTAAGGACCACAAACCAGAGTGAACACGCTGCGGCTGAAGATCACACACAATCTATTTCAGTTCCCTCTGGTCTGGGCCCCTTTTGCATCCATCAGTCTCTTCCTGTTTTTGGAGTTTCTTTCTCTCTCGTCTTCCCGTTGACCGCCTTCCTAGGTCCCTCTGGGCGTGTGTTTCCCGGCCTCTGGGTGTGCTGCGCAGTTTCAGCTCTGTGTGAGGGTGGGCGTCTCCCTTCGAATTTCTTGTTCCAGGATCCGCGTCTTCCTCGGTTTCCCCGATGGTGCTCTTGTCCTTCTACCCCCAGTCAGCCTCCGGGCCTCCCTCTCAGCCCCTCCCGCCCCCATTTTTATTCTGGCTCCTTTCTGAGTTACTCTACTTTGCTATTAACGTGAATAAGTACAACGTTTCCTTACAAGACAATTAAATTCCTTTTTACCTGTCTGTGGGCCTTCACTGTTCCTTTCGTCCTGGGCCAGTGATGCTTATCGAAGACGAAGGAGGGAGTCACCCTCGCTCCGGCGGCCCTTCGAGACGTGTCTCCGACACAGCCAGTCGGGAGCACACGGCTCTTCCTTCCCGCACGTCCCGCAGACAGATTTTTAATCATGTGGAAGACGTGAGTGGTGTGTGCATCTGTGTGCCCATGGATACGTGGGATTATCGTAAGCAATCAAGTTGCAAAAAAATCATGTCAGGTAATATGTGAACACAAACAACAAAAACGGACGTGTGTGCTTACATGAATACGACTGTGTAGGGAAAGTTCTGGAAGGACACGGCAGCCTTCTCGGTGGTTACCCTTCACTCTCTCCATCAGGGATGAGACCCAGGTCCCCTCCCTTGCAGCTGGTGGGCTCGTAACTGTAAACAAGTCAAGCCTCTCACATAAACAAAGTCAGGTCTCCCCTCTCTCCTCAGACCCCTCTAGGAGATCAATTTGCTCTTCTCTCCCGCGGTTTCACTCAGGGTTCTTTTTTTTTTTTTTTTTTTAATCCTCACCTGAGGACACTTTTCCATTTTTTGCACAGACAGAGTGGGAGGGAGAGAGAGGAAGGAAGAAAGAGAGAGAAACATCGACGTGAAGGGACACATCGAGTGGCTGCCACCCGCACGACCAACCAGGGCCGGGGACAAACTGCATCTCAGGGTTCTTGATTATAAGCAACTGCTGCACGATCTGACACATCAGGAAAGGTCTGACTGGGTGGAACCGGAGGCAGGGCAGCAGATCCCACCGACACCCACCACCGCCCTCCCTTGTCGGCGGGCGTCCCACACCCCGTCCCGGGAGCTCACCGTCCTCGGAGACACGCTGGCCAAGGAACGTCCCGGGACTGCCCTTCGGCCACCTTGACGAAGCACCAGAGTCGCAGTTGAAACAACAGACATTTCTTTCCCTCGCGGTGCTGGAGGCCGGAGTCTGGGGTCCGGGTGCTGTCGGGTCGGTTTCTCCTGAGGCCTCTCCCCTTGGCCGTCTTTTCTGTGTCCTTACTTGGCCATCCCTCTGGGCATGTCTGCGCCCTAATCTCTTCCTGTAAGGACGCCAGTCATATTGGATTCAGGTCCACTTTAATGTCCTCATTGTAACTTAATTACCCCTTTAAATACCCCACCTCCAAAGATAGTCATATTCTGAGGTACCGAGGGTTAGGACTTCAGCAGACGAATTTGGGGGAGACACAGTTTGGTGCATCACACGAGCTCAAGGCAGGAAGAGGGGGATCTGGCCCCTGTGGTTCCCATAGTGAAAGCTACCCCACTTTCCATTAGGACAGCTCACAGCCGGGGCTGCCCGGGGCAGGGGTGGGGGGCCTGGAGAGCCAGGCAGGCCCCTGCGCCTGCCCCACAGAGATGCTGCAAAGGGCCCCGCACTCATTAAAACGCTCTTTCGTTTGCCCTGGGTCTTCAAACAAAAGTTACCAGGCTTCTGTCCCCCAAGCCCAGCCCCTGAGGTGGCTCGGGCTAAGAGCATAAATACTTCCCGATGGCCACACTGGCCTCTCCTACAGCGCTTAGCACTGTGATTCTCCCAGGGTGAAGTCGGGCCCCCCTCCCATCTGCTCGGTCAGCAGCTTTCTGTGGGCACATACTATGAAAGCTGTTGTGTGCCAAGTTTCTGTCCCTGGTCTCTGCCCTGTCCTCTTCCCCGCCTTCCTGTTCCCCTTTCTCCACTGCTCTGAGAGGCAGAGACTCGCCCGGCCTCCACCCTCACCTGGGACCTCTGGGGGCCTCACGGAAGCTTCTTGAACCACAGGGAAATTGTGTCCATTTTCATTTTTTCTTGGGCCTAAAGCTTTATCAGAAGTTTAAAACATCAACCGCGTTGTCGCCTCCGAAACGTGGCTTTTGTCCAAACCTGTCTTCTGAGTCCCAGAGCCTTGTGTCCACCTGCCTACCTGACCTCCCTCCTGGAATCACCACAGCCCCTCCCCCAGGCCCCCCCCCACATCCTTCCCTCCCCCTCATCCTTCCCTCCCCCCCAGGCCTGCTCCTCCCCCCAGGTCCCAGGTCCGGGAACTAGCCACCGTCCTGCCCACCCAAGCGCCGCCCAGACCTCCTCCTGCACCACATCCGCGTTCTACCTGCCTCACACCTGGCCGGCGCACGCCCACTCACGTAGCAGAGTCCCTGTCTCTCACCCGGGCTGTTAAAATAGTTCCCCAACTTTCCCTCCAACCTATTTCTCGGCCTGCTATCAGAGTAATTTTAATCACACAAAAAACTGGTCACGTTATTCGCCAGCCTAAAAGCTTGATGACCAGTTTTACGTTTTATAAAACGACTCTGATAACAGGCCAAGAAAGCAGGGGAAGGTGGGGGTGGGGGGGCAGGGTGTGGGTGTGCTGACCGGATCGAGGGAACAGGGTGGAGGTGGACAGCCGGGCCTCTTCCAGGTCCCCGCGCCTGCCTGTCCCGGAAGGAGCCCCGAGTGGCCAGCGGCCCTGCGGCCGAGCTCCTGGCCTGGCCTCACCGCGGGGCCCCAGCCCCGCACCTTTGCTGTGTTCTTCCCGCTCTTTCCAGGGCCCATTTCTCCCCTAAGCCAGGGCTTCTTTTCGTAGACGATGGGAACTCTGTGATCAAAATCACACCACGGAACCGGGAGCTCCTGTGGGTTACAGATCCCAGGGCCCAGGAGTTGTTCATTTCGAAGGAAGCCCTCGCCCGTTTGGCTCAGCGGCCAGAGTGTTGGCTCACAAACCGAAGAGTCGTGGGTTCAGTTCTGGTCCAGGACAGTATCTTCCCTAACCCTGGTCGGGGTCGTGCCGGGGGCAACCAGTCCATGTGTCTCTCTCACATCGATGTCTCTCTCTCTCCCTCTCCCTCTCCCTCTCCCTCCCTCCCACTCTGTCTGAAGATAAATGGGAAAATATCCTCCGGTGAGGATTTAAAAATAAATAAATAAAATAATAATAGCCCAGCTAGTGCTGTGTTGCTCAGGGGTTTGAGCATCGACTCATGCATCAAGAGGTCGCCAATTTGATTCCTGGTCAGGGCACATGCCCAGGTTGTGGGTCCAGTCCCCAGTGGGGGGCACGCAGGAGGCAGCCAGTCGATGTTCTCTCTCATCGATGTATTTTTTTTTTATAAATTTTGCATTTATCTTCAGATAGAACGGGAGGGAGAGAGGGAGAAAGAGAGAGAGAAAGTGGCTGCCACCCACATGACCCCAGCCAGGGCCGGGGTAAACTGCGACTGAGGTACGCGCCCTTAGCGGGAAATGAACCCGGGACTCTTGAGTTTGCGGGCAGTCGCTCTAACCGCTGAGCCAAACCGGGCAGGGCTCTCATAGGTTTCTATCTCTCTCTCCCTTCCTGTCTCTCTAAAATCAATAAAGAAAAATTATTTTAAAAAATAAAATAATAGCCCTGGCCGGTTTGGCTCAGCGGTTAGAGCATCGGCCTGCGGTCCGGAGAGACCCGGGTTCGGTTCCCACTAAGGGCATGTACTTCGGTTGCAGTTTGTCCCCGGCCCTGGTTGGTCGTGCGGTGGCAGCCACTCGATGTGTCCCTTTCACGTCGATGTTTCTCTGTCTCTGTCTCTTCCTCTCTCTCCCTCCCACTCTATCTGTACAAAAAATGGAAAAATGTCCTCGGGTGAGGATAAAAAAATAAATAAATAAAAATAAAATAATAACAATTTTGAAAGAACCAGGTAATGGAGGTACTATTGGGGTACGGGGCCCTGGCAGGGACTGAGGAGCCAAGTGACTACTCTGTACCTGGGTGGCCAGGCAGGAGGGAGAAGGCCTGAGGTGGATGATGCTCTCCCTCATCCCGGTCTCCGGGGTCAAGCTGTCCCCTCTGGGCACCAGGTGGGTATCCTGAGCTGTCTGAGGGTGCCCCACAAACAGCCGGCAGGTGCTCAGCACAGACCCACATGGGCAAAGGGACACGCCCACCTCAGCTTCTCCCCCAGGCTCCGCCCCACCCCCACCCAGGGCTCACTGGTCTGATAGGGAGTCAATGATGTTCCCAGAAAAGGAGTGTGTTGGGTAATGGACTGAAAAGAAGGCTGCTTGACTTCCTCTCTCGAGTCAGCCAGGGCACTGCAGTGTCTGGTGACTCACTCACTCTCTTGGCCAGCATGTGGAGGCTGCTGTCCACTGCCCTGCTGCTTCTGGGTAAGTCAGAGTCATCGCTGAGGGCGACACTCAGGATGCCCGGGGATCAGGCCAGGCTTGGACCCCTACCAAGGGACGGGACCCTTTCCACACCTGGAGCCCTAGGCTGAGCTCCTAGCATCCGCCGTTGGTGGTGAGAGAGGAAAAGATCTCCTCTGATTTGAGCACCGTCAGGAGGTGAAGGGGGCTGTGGTATCTCCCCACTTTACCCCTCTGGGTCTCAGTTTCCTTATCTGTAAGTCAACGAGTATGGACCAGACCGTCCCTAAGTTCTGTCTCTTCCACTGTGACGCCCCAGGGTTCCTCTCTAAGATGTTTAATCTCTGCTGTTTGCAGGGGACTTGGGTTGAGTTTGTTTCTAGGCTTTTACTGAGGGAAATTCAGTCCGTTTCCTTAATTTGGGAGTTTGAACAGGGACCGAGCGGTAAGGGAACGGTGTTGAAAAGAGGGATTTGGAGGCACAGACATTGGAGACCAGGTGCGGGCAGCGGGACAGCTGGCCTCTCCGTGTCCTGATTCCTGAAGACACAGGCCCCGGGCAGGGTGGGCAGGGAGTCAGCCCAGCCCACACTGCGGTCACCACTATCCGTTTTCTGCTCAGTATTTGTTTACTTTTTTTTCCTTGCAGCTTCAGCAAGTACCGGAGCTGGTGAGTGCTTCCAGGAGTCGGGCTGATGGAGCGAGGCCACGGGCTGTGGCGAGAGCCAGTGGGGGGCTGGCGGGGGCAATGACCCCAACATGGTAGGGTTTGGCCTTACGCTTCTCTGGCCAGTTTTCCTTAAGACACAGAGAGGCCAAAGCAGGGCCAAGCGTCTCCGAGCCAGGATGCTGCCAGACGGAGTCACAGTGCAAGACGAGCCTCACCCGTGGGTCTGCAGGGCGAACCCCGGCCCGCAGCCTCCTGGGGGCCAGGACAGCGCGGGGATGCTCGTCTCCCGGCCTCACCCACTCCCCTGTCTCCCCAGAAGGCCAGCAGAAGGCTGTGGTGTCCCTGCACCCGGAATGGGACAGGCTGCTGGAGAGGGACAATGTGACCCTGAAGTGCCAGGGGCCCCAGGCTGAGGGGCACAATGCCACATGGTGGTGGCGCAGCGGAACCCTCCTGTCAAACCACACCTCCAGCTACTTCATCGCGTTGGCCACCGTCAGTGACAGCGGGGAGTACAGCTGTCAGACCAGCCTCTCCGAACGCAGTGACCCGGTGCCGCTCCACGTCCAGGCCGGTGAGGGGTGACAGGGAAGAGGGGTGACACAACAAGCTGGGGTAGACGGGGGGAGCCGGAGGTGATGTTCTTGGGGTTAGAACTGAGATGGGATGATCCTTGGTCCCTCTGAGTTACATCAGAGCTGGGGTTCAACCACCAACAGGCACCGTGTCAGACCTGGCACAGAGCAGACACAGGACTGCGGTCCCGCCCAGAGCGGGGACGCACCCCCCGGGCACACACCAACACGGGCCTGCCCATCGAAGGTCCTGCTGTGCTCCTGTTGCAAACACGAGGGAGGGTGAGGGCGGCGGTCTCCCTGCAGAGGGCTTCTCACCTGCCTCCCACCTGCCTCTGCCCTGGCCTTTGTTCTGATCGGCTGTCTGTCCCTCCCCACTTTAGACAGAAGTCCTGGTGTGGCTTGAGTTCTCACGCAGGCCCCGAGGCTTCTTCCCAAGGAGAGCTCGAAGGAAGGGCTCCCCGTCTGCTTGCCGTCCGCGGGGTCTGCTGGCCAGTGTCCCCTCACAGGGCTTTGCGCTGACATCGAGGCCTCTTGGGCCTGTGCTCTGTTTTTCAGCCTGGCTGCAGCTCCAGGCCCGTCGCTGGGTGGTCCAGGAGGGGGACCCCATCACGCTGAGGTGCCACAGCTGGAAGAATGTTCCTATTCACAAGGTCCAGTATTTCCAGAACGGCAGAGGCAGGAAGTTTTCCCATCAGAATTCTGACTTCCACATCCCAAGGGCAGCAGGCAAACACAACGGCTCCTACTTCTGCAGGGCGATGATCGGAACTCTCAACGTGTCTTCTGACGCTGTGAACATCGTTGTTCAAGGTGAGAGGGCCACAGGCCTGAAGGGCCAGAACCCGGGTTGCTGGCCAAGCCACCGAGTCTCTCTGAACCCAGTTTCTGTGACAAAGACAGCTGACACATGTTGGGCACTGTCCATGGGCTGGACGCTGTGCTAAGTGCCTCATGACAGGTGTCCTGCCTGACGATCACAGGGACCCCGACACTGTGATGAGATAGGAAGGCTGACTCCACAGCACAGGCGAAGGGACTGGGGGGAAGAGAGGGGGCTGATTAATTTGCCCCTTGGGTCACACCAAAGGGTCAAAGCCTGTCTATTTAACCACTTGGTAAAGTGGAAGCACTGGACAGGCACCATGTCCTGGGGTGGACTTTGGCCCAGTGCCTGTGAGGCACCCCTGGGTCAGGCACCCCTCCCCGCCCAAGGTGCTCCCAGACTCTGTGATGTCACAAAGTGTCCATCTGTAACCAGACCAAGGCCACACAGCAAGACAGCGAGACAGACACACACCTTTTGAGACTTTAACAAAACAAAGCTATAATTCGTATGAAACTAGTGTGATTGCAATTTAAATGTAAACACTCTCGACCGGTGAGGGAAAGAGAGGGCAAATCCCAAAGCAAATGGGTCAGAATGCCAACATCAGTAAATGGAGGGTAAGAATATGTCAGAGTTCTTTCTACCATTCTTGTCCGTTTGAAATTAAACCAAAATTAAGAGTTAAAATTTCGAAATGAAAAAAGCCAGTCTGCTGTTGCCAGTGTGTGAACGGCGGCCAGTAATGCATTTTAAATGACAACATCAAGGGCTGGGAGGGTGAGAGCCAGCCAGCTGGGCCGCGTCCCCTTTGGGTGATTGTCCCTGGGCCTTCGAAAGAAACAGTGTCCATTTTCTGCCAATAAGTAGCAAATTTCAATGGTTCGCTATTTTTTCAGATTTCCTTTGGTGATCGTGAACAACCTGGGGTGAAAACAAGGAGTGTAATTTTGAGACACGAGATAAAATTACTGAATTAAGAAATACTGGTCTGGCCCTGGCTGGTGTGGCTCCGAGGGGGGAGCACTGGCCAGTCTCTGGGGCTCCATTCTCAGTCGAGGGCAAATACCTGCAAATACTGTGGTTGCAGGTTGGGGCACGTGTGGGAGGTAACAAACCCATGTGTCTCTTTCACATCGATGTTTCTCTTCCCCACCCCCCACCCCTACTCTAAATGGGGAGAAAAAGAAGATTCACAAAAACAAAAACAAAATGTTCTCACACTGACTTAAACTCTGACAACTTCCACAAATTCACACCCAAACAACCTCGTCACTCCCAGCCACAGCCCCCCTCAGACAAGAAGCTGGGTCTGGGCACAGTGGGGGCTTTCCTGGAAACTCCCCCGGCCCCTGGGACCGCTCTCGGCAGGTGTCGGGATGGCTCCGCGCCAATTCCCAGTTGCTGCCTTAACAACTGTTGTTTTTTCCATCCCTCTGCAGCTCTGCCAGCCCCACCCACCTCACTGGGGCTGCCCGTCCTGTTCTGCCTGCTGCTGGGACTCCTGTTTGCGGTGGACACGGGGCTGTATTTCTCCGTGCAGAGTGACCTTCGCAACTCCCTGAGGAACAGGAGGAATGACAACGTCACATGGAGCAAGAGCCCTGAGGACAAGCAGGAGCAGTCAAAGGAGATCGTCTGAGCCTCTCCGTACTCACAACTCCATCGTCCCCAACACCCACCTCTGGCGGCAGCGGGACATCTATGCCGCAGAGTCTGGGCCGAGGGTCCTTCACCCAACTCTATTTTCTCCCAGTCTCCAGTGGAAAGGAAGGGCCTATGATTTTTTAAAAATATTATTGTCATTTTTAGTACTCAATCTGGTTTTTTACTTTTAGTTTTATGTATAATTGGCATAGAATGCTCTATTAGCTGTAGGTGTACATTGCGATTCCACAGGTACTGTGCCTCACAAAGCGACCGAAGGGCCTGCGATCCTCACGGGCCAGCGAAGCCCCCCGAGTGGCTGCCGCGCCAGAGCTCAGGGCCACACAGTCACCTGCCCCAGCACAGCACAGTCTCGGGAGAGGACTCTTAATGCATGAGCACTGTTCTTAGATAACCGATTGGTAGATAAGAGAATGAATGGCTGAACGCCGTCTGGATAGTGCTCCGCACCCTGCCACAGGGCAGCTCTCTCGAGGCACCCCAAAACTCCTTCAGACAGACAGTGGCTTCCAGGAGAGACAGCAGAACCAGTGAAGGGGTGGCTGAGAGAGAGCCGATGGTCCAGGACAGACCAGAGGACACCCCCACCAGGACCATCTTCCTCAAAACGAGGGCCCTGTAAAATCAAGGTTATGAGGGGAGAAGTGGTCCTAGGAAGGGAGCCACAGTTGGGACGGGTGGAACGGACAACACAGAACCAATCCTGTGCCTGTAGGAAGGAGAGAAGCATCGCTGTCCCAGGCTAAGCTCCATGAGCAGGTATCTCCGTGCCGGGAAAGCGTGATGAGAAGCAGCCAACCATGACTGCCCGGGAAAAGGTGGGCACACTGCTGGCCAGGACAGCAAGAATTAGAGAGGAGGGGCAGGGACTATGAACCAGATTTCTGCTCCACTAATTTGGGTCTAGCTTTGTTCACATCGTTCATTAAACAAATGTCGGATTATCGCAGTGAATGTAATGAACCCTACTGAGTTCAGTCTCAGCCCTCAGGAACGGGGGTGGGGAGGGAGGAGCACCCGCTGCTTTTGGAAGAAGGCTTTGGCTCGCTCTCTCTGCTTTAGAAGCTTCCAGAGAACACGGTTGATTCCAGTAAAGCGTTTCACAGGATTTTGCTTGCTCTCTCAGATAGAAGATGGGAAAACCATCGTAATAAAACATGAATGAGAAAATCTTTGTCTCCTCCCATTAGTCTGAGTTGATGGACATGCCTCTGGCTACAGCCCCTTTGAACCAACCCGGTCAGCTTGCTAACTCACCCAGCGCTGCTCAGACACTGGGTGCAGGGTGGCTTTTACAGGGGTAGGGCTGGGGGGGGCAGAGGAACAGAGGTAGTTCAGAGCATGCGCCGCCGGTAAGAGGAGGCACAGGTGGGAGGGGGCAGGGGCCTGAGCAGAGGTGCAGGGTAGCTGCGTTGTGTTTGGGGTGAGCTACATGCCAAGGTGACCTGAACTGGGGTGTGAATACTACATGAGACTTGACAGCAGACAGTGCACTCGGAGACCCTGGACACTCAACTCATACCCGTTTGGTATACACTGTGCCAAGTGAGTTCAGGTGCTGACAACACCGGGGGACAGCACAGGGCCACTCCCTGGGGGTCTGTCGTTCTGGTGAGAGAAACTTGTAAAGGAGGAGAGGGACAGGCTTCCTTTTGGTGTGGGGTGAAGGGTGAGTGGGGGTCCATGAGCAAAGATTCGAACCCTAAGAAAGTCGCGGTGTGGACTGTGCGGGCGAGGAGAGGCTCGGGGGCCAAATGGGGAAAGGCAGGGCCTCCCGAGCCGGAGCTTGTCCCTCCCCTGCCGGCCACTGGGAGACCCGGGACCAGCAGGTGTGCGTGTGGAAGCCTCTCCGAAGCTGCCCGGAGGGTGGGAGCGAGGAGAGCGGGGCAGGGGAGGCGACGAGAAGTCACTGCCGCGGGCTGCAGGGGAAGGTGCCTGCTCCGCAGGTCTGTGGGGCGCCGACTCTCCCAACCTCGGCGACCCGTAGGAGGTGACGTCATAAGGGCCCAGGTTCCCGAAGCGCCCAGTTGGGAAACGCAAAGGGCAAGGCAGGGGCAGGTCTGGTAAAACAAGCCGCCTTTGTTCATTAGCACTTACTCCGGAAGCACCAATTACAGAAGCGGCTTCGTGCTGCAACTGTAGCAGAAGCTCAGCCCAGCAGCTGGAGGTTTGTAACTTCGGCGGCGTCACGCAGCCCCGGTGCCGGCCAAGTACCTGGGCTGGGTGGGCCCTGGAGAGCCGCACCCAAAAGAGGCCGACAGGTGTCGGGCGCACAACCCCGGGCTCAAAACGGCGACCCGCGTCCCTGGGTGGGCTCGAACCACCAACCTTTCGGTTAACAGCCGAACGCGCTAACCGATTGCGCCACAGAGACAGGCAAGGGCCACCGCGGCCGCCAGTGTGTTAACCGAGCAACAAAGGCGTGGCGCTGCCCCAGCGGCCGCGGCGGGGGTGGCGTGGGAACCGGGGGACGGGCCGCGCCCCGCGCCCCGCGCCCCGCGCCCCGCGCCCGGCCGCAGCGCGAGCCCCGCCCGCCTCCTCCTGCGCCGGCACCTGCTGGGGCCCGAGGCTCAGAACCCGGAGAGCGAGGACGAATGCACCGGGGTCTTTGGGGAGCCCCCTGTGGGTTCCGGAACTCACTGGTTCTGCTCAGGGAAGTACGTCCGTGAACTTTTGGGCTGATCGGGATCATTTATGAATTCACGTGCATGTGCGGGAGTCTGAACTCATCACGATCTTGTGAGAGTGTAAAATACCAGTCGTGTCCTGCAACATAGGACACCTAAGTAAGGGAGCCCACCCTCACAAAATCGGTCTCCTACCCCTGCTGTTAGAAAGGTTTCTGCTGGCGTGTTAGGTACCAGGCAGAGCACACTGTGTACTTATAAAGTGGTTTAAGGACTTTCACACAGTCACGTCGGATCCAAACATCGAGGGCAAAGACCCCTTTTCCAACATCATCAACCTGGCCAGTGTCCCCTAAAGACCCAGGGCCACCCAGAGGGGAGAGAGAAGCTCCTGTCTTTGTCCCTGGGCCACACCCCACCCCCACCCCACCCCACCCCCACCCCACCCGGCGTCTCCAGCCTGGCCAAAGCGGTTCTACGCTGCACCAGGCACACGTGCACCGCTTTCTGTCTCCTGAGTCCCCGGCCCTTCCGGAGCCTCCTCGCAGAACTTCCTCCTCCCTCCTGCACCGCCATCTGGTCTAGTGCTTTCAGCGAAATGAGAACGTGCCTCATCCGGGGAAACCAAACTTGCAAATGAATCTCCTCTCACATCTTCGGCTGCCCCTTGAGCTGGGTGGGACTGAACAGAGGCTCCAGGAGGCCAAGCTGAAAATAATGGTCAGAAGCCTAAGAGCTATCTGTACCCAGCAGAGATTTCACTGGAAATCACAGAAAACACTGGAAACCGCATAACTGTTCGAAAATAGGAGATTGGTTAAAGATACTATTATGTAGCCATAGGGTACCACACGATGAAGTGATGAAGTCTTTTAAAGTGTTTTAGCCTAAACAACAATGAGGTATCACCTCACACCTGTCAGAATGGCCGCCATCAACAAATCATCAAACAACAAGTGTTGGCGAGGGTGTGGAGAAAAGGGGACTCTAATACACTGCTGGTGGGAATGCAGACTGGTGCAGCCGCTATGGAAAACACTATGGTGTTACCTCAAAACATTAAAAATTGAACTTCCATTTGACCCAGTGATCCCACTTCTAGGAATATACCCTAAGAAGCCTGAAACACCAATCAGGAAGAATATATGTACCCCCATGTTCATAGATCTGGAAACAGCCCAAGTGTCCATCAGTAGACAAATGGATAAAAAAGCTGTGGTACATATACACAATGGAGTACTATGCAGCTGTAAGAAAGAAAGATCTCTTACCCTTTGAGACGACATGGAGGGACCTGGAAAGTATTATCCTAAGTGAAAGAAGCCAAGCAGAAAAAGACAAATACCACATGATCTCACTTATATATGGAATATAATGAACATAACAGTCTGAGGAATACAGTAGACCCAGAAACATGGAAGTAGGGCACAGACTGACATCCCTCAGAAGAGGGAGTCGGGGGGTGGGGGGTGGGAAGAGATAAACCACAGAACTTATATGCATGACCAATGGACATGGACAACTAAGCTGGGGTTGGGGCGGAGGTGGGGTGGGGTGGGGGGTGCCAATGGGGTAAAAAAGGTAAAATATCTGTAACAAAAAAATAAATAAATAATTTATAAAAAAAATAAAACAAAAAAATAAAGTGTTTTAGCCTACTATTTAGTGAATATAAAAATACTTACATTTTAAGTAAACAGGTAAGTAGGTTAAACATATGCACAATATCATTCCAATGTTGCAGTGTAAAAAATGCCAGAGATAAACATACAGCAAAATATTGATAAGGATGCCCTGGGCGACAAAAACACGGCTGCCTTTTCTGTGTCTGTGATGTGCTTATTCTCCCAAGGACTACACAGTACTCTTACACCCAGGGGAGACACCGTCTCTGTAACCAGGAGCACGAGCGCGAAGCAGGTGCCGGGGCAGGGATCCCCGCGGAGGGTCTCGAGGCCGTCCAGCTGGCCCTGCCCCTCGCAGACCAGAAGCCGAGGCCCAGGGGAGTTAAACGACTTTCCCGAAGGCAGACGTTCCTTGGTGACGGCAGCAGGTCGCTGTCAGAGCAGCGCTCAGTTCTCGGCGCAGTCGGTACAGACCGAACAGCGCCGTTTGCGCCCGGGAAGCCGAGCAGGGCCGGGGCACCAGCGGTGCGGCCGGGTACGCGGTCGTCAGTGCGCGGGGTGGACAAGAAGGGAAGGTGGCGATTTCAAGTTTGGGGCTGGAAGGCAGAGCCGGGACCCTGGGGTTCTCCTCCCGTGGGCAGCGGGAAATGCTGGGGGCGGGAGAAGGTGGACCCAGGGGGCACCGGGAGAGGACGGGGCCCCAGCGGCATGTCAGGCGGGAGCTGGATGGCGGGAGGATGACCCAACGCATCCCACGCAGAATCGGGGTCAGACCGCACAAACCAGAACTATTGTCCATCGTCCATAAAACTCAGGCGGGACACGTACCCTCGGGGAAAACCTGGGCTTAGGGAAGAATAATTTTTGGAGGGGGCAAAAGTGTCCGCGCCTCCCCGTCGGGGAATCGAACCCCGGTCTCCCGCGTGACAGGCGGGGATACTCACCACTATACTAACGAGGACGAGCGCGACGGCGGGCCCCGAATACGTGCTTAGGAAGCTGCTGCCCGTTCCCAGCGCTACTTCTTCCGCGACGGGGGCAGATTGCGGGCAGGGTTGCGCCTTCGCTGTCCAGACCCGCGCTGGACCGCCGACACGCCGCGGAGCTCTACGGAATTTTAAATTCCCCAGGAGCCACGTGGAAAAGAAGAAACAGGTGAGGCTTTTCAGAATCTTCCTTATTGAATCCCATGTGTGACCACTAGTATTTCTACATGCGCTTCACATGAGCATCTTTTCATACTTCGTGTTCACACCGGCATGTGTGCTGCGCTGGCACCTGCGCACGGGTTAGTCGGAGGTCACGTGTGCACCGGGAACACCTGTGCTTCGATGTCAGCGCGACGATGGGAGGAGGGGCGCCTGCACCGAGGTTGTTCCGAACGTGTGTGAACACCCCTAGTAGCTGGATCCAGGGTGTGTCCAGGATTTTGCATTTAATGCAGCGACTGCCCTGCACCTCCTCGGACGCTGGGCCATCGCGGTGCCGCAGGCGGCGGGCGAGCGAGCCTCGCGGGCAGACAGGGCCGCTCTGAGCGCGGAGTCGTGCGAAAACCGGACGGGGAAGCGGCGGCAGCGCGTGGCGGGGGAGAAAACAAAAACAAAACAAAAAAAGGGGAGGCTGCGTTGGCCGGGAATCGAACCCGGGTCAACTGCTTGGAAGGCAGCTATGCTCACCACTATACCACCAACGCCCGCGCCGGGAGCCCGCGGATTCCCTACGTGACTCTGGCGCGCGCCGAGCACCTGCCCGCCTGCTCCGCGTCGTCCGCGGCCCTGGCGCCTTCCGGAGAGAACGCTGCCGGCGCCCGCCCTCCGGGCCTCCGCCTGTGGCGCCCCAGCACTGGGCCCGCCGGACCCCAACGACGATTTGGGGCGGAGGGTCGAGGGACACCACCCGCCAAGTCCAGAGAAGGGGCGTTAGGCTGGCGCGGCCGGAGGACACAGGAGAGGGGTCGGAGGCGGTTGTATTGCTCCTGTTTGGCGAGAGTCCGGGGCGGTTCTGCTTTATGGGAAACGCAGGTGAACTCCGCACGAGTGTAACCTGACGTCCTGACGCGGGGCTGTGACGTAACGTAGCCTTAAAGGCAAATGGAAAGAACGAAGCTCGAGCGTCAGGATGGCCGAGCGGTCTAAGGCGCTGCGTTCAGGTCGCAGTCTCCCCTGGAGGCGTGGGTTCGAATCCCACTCCTGACAAGGTGTACTTTTTTTTTTTTCCCCCTTCTCCCTTTGACTCCAGCTTCTCAGGGTCTGTTTATCCAGCTTCTCAGGGTCTGTTTATCCGTTCCTTCATTCGACAGTGATGCATGAAGCCTTTTTTATGGGCCAAGCCCCTAGGGCAGGTCCATGGCAACGACTTCTCTGATACACAGAAGGCCTCAACCCTGATTCCTCGCTTTGCTGTCATTGGCCTGAGACTTTCCAGTGCCCGGGCCGCGGTGTCCAAGCCTCAGATTCCCCGCCCGACCCCCTCCCACTATCAACCCCAACTCCGCCGGTTTGCCGAGTCACCAGAACCAGAAAAAGGGCTCACCAGGCCGAGTGGGGTTGGGTGGACTCAGAGAGGAAAGATAAAGTCATGAAGTTGCCTGTTTCGATTCCTTGTTCGTGAAGATCGCAACGCAGCCAGTTTCTGACTTGGGAAGCTGGTTGCGGAGAAACCCTGCTGTCCTTCGGGGAACAGAAGGAACGGTCAAGCCGAAGAGGTGGAGTGTGTGAGGCCCCTCAGTGTGAGGCGGGAAGGACCTTTGGGCTGATGGGTGAGGTCCGCCCAACTGCACCCCGCTGTTTACTGGACCCTGAGCCTGGGAAATGCTTTGACTTCTCCGAGCTCGAGTCAGATCGCGGTGCGCTGGCTCGTGGCGCGCGTTGGGAACGCAGACCTCGGACCTGGGGGCGCACCGGGAGACCCCGGCGTCCGCCTGCGCAGCGAGTGCGGTCCGCACGGGGCTCGCTCGCCGTCTCTGCGCAGGTCGGCGCTGAGCTAGGACGGGGAGGCCTGCCCCCGCTTTTCACCGCCCCCTTTACTCGGCGTCGCTTGACCACTGACCCCGCCAGACGCCGTGCTCGGAACAAAGGCTAAAGAAGTTAAATGACGACGTGTGAGCTGAAGACGGGGTGGGCACTCGTAGGAGACACGACACTGTCAGCGAGGTTGGATCTCACCCTGAACAAAGGCCGACGAGCCCGACAGCTGGCCCAGGCCGGCGGCAGAGGCCGTGGGTCACGCCAAGACGGAATCGCTCTGTTTGGGTTTTATTGGTTCGGCACGTGCCCCTAGCAGAACCGAACTAGCAGAACCGAGCCCGGCCAGGGCTAACCTGGGTGCCGCGTGGTCCCGGGACAGACGGGCCCTGTTCTAAGCGGCGGCCCAGAGGGCCGGGCCCTCCCCGGCGGAACCGGAGGCCGAGGCGGAGTGAAGGGCCGCGCGGCGGAGACGCGCCCCGTGCGCATTGGTGGTTCAGTGGTAGAATTCTCGCCTGCCACGCGGGAGGCCCGGGTTCGATTCCCGGCCAATGCAACCGTCGTTTTGGGCGCGCTTGGGTTTTTGTTCCCCTTTCCCACTTTTAACGCTGAGATCGACGAAACCAATTAGCTGACGGCTGGAGCTGCTGCCTCCCCGAAGAGGGTCGCTTTTGGAGGGTCAGGGACCCGGCGCGGCCTCGAGGAGAGAAGGCAGCAGAGGCGGAGCACCCCAGGGGCTCGGTGACCTGCCCTGGTGCCGCCGAGCGCTGGGCGGCGTGGCCCCTGCCGGCCCGCAGCCACAAAGCCACGGGGTCCCAGCAGCCTGCCCTGAACCCGGAAGGTCCCGTTTGAATTCTGGGGTCTCTGCTTGGCGTCCCCTGAAAAGCCAAAGGACTCTCGGAGACGCCCGGGCCCAGACTGGGGAGAGAAGCCCAGGGGGCGAACCCCGAGCCGCGGCGCGCACCCGGGTCTCCAGCCCAGGCGCATGGTTGGCCTCCCAAGCGTTTTAGGGGGCTTCGGTCGACTTTGATGTCACCGTTGTCATTGGCCCGATTCGAAGGAAACTACGACTCTTTCTAAAGAGAAGCTAAGCACCCTTGCTCCGAAGGCGGCTCTTTTCTCCTCGGAAAGCTGGGGGCCCTGGGAAGGGGTGTCAGGACCCAAGCTCGGCCGCGCCCGGACCTTCTCCGTCCACCCGCACCCTTTTGCAAAGCGGCAGCTTTAACTTCCTTCACTCTCAGCATCTAGGCCCCCCAGGCCGGGTGTGCCGTAGGGGCGTTTTAGCCAAGGGCCTGAAAGGGACGGGTCCTAGCTCCGGGGGAGAGGCGCCTGGCCTGGGGTCTGCGACCTGGCCTCTTCAGGGGCTGCCTGTCCGAGCCCCCACCTTCCCCCCAGCCCGCAAAACCCCACCCCAGGCTTCCAGGCCTAGGCTAGAGCCAGCGCCTCTGAACCTGGACATGAACCACAGCGTCACCCCCGTGTCCCCCGCTGCTTCACCTACTAATTCAGAGGTTCCATCCCAATACACCTATTCATGTCTCCTAACAGTCTGAGCGTCTTGGAAAATGGAACAGACACCAAAGCAATGACTGGGACGATGTTGTGACGTGGGAGGGGAGGTTTAGGGCTGAGTGCAAAAAGCAAATGTGTGGTATGACCCCAAACCGTATAGACAAAGGGCTGTGACACCAACTGCGTGCATATCCTCGAACAAGTCACTTCAAGCATTCGGACCACAGCTTCCTTGATTTTATAATGAAGGGAGTGCACCACGCCACTTCTGAGGACTTTCTAGGTTTAAAATTCTCCAGATTTAGTAAAGAATGTACTCATTCTGCAAAGAGTTAGAGTTCTTTATCACGTGCCAGACACTGAGCTAGACTGTGGGGAGTAGTAAGAAAACAAAGGCCCTGATCTCCTGGAGCTCACTTTCTGCTGGCCAGAGGGCCAGACAATAAACCGTCACACAGGGGAACTTGGGACGGCAGTTGGTAATAAGCAGCCTGAGGACAAACAGAGCAGGAGAGGGGTTAGGAGCTGGTGGGGAGTGGAATTCTGTTGAAGGGTCAGGGAGACGTCACTGACAAGGGGGCAGTCATGATGAAGCATAATGAGGCACCCTAAGCAAGAGATCCAGAAACAGGGCCTCGGGGAAGCCCTGGGCGGAAGTACAACTGGTGCGGCGAAGGAAGCAAGGGACAGCAGTGGCTGAGGAGAGGCAGGAGGACCTGAGGACACGCAACTGCCCCGGCTTTTACTCTGAGGAGCGAGGGGCGCCACTGTGTGGCTTTGAGCAAAGCCGGGCAGATGGACTCGCTTTTTAAAAGCTGGCTCTCTGCGGTGGTGAGAGGGGACGCGGCGGGGTGTCTTGGCCGTCCAGTGGGAGCTGGTGGCCGCTTGCGACAGGGTTGGCCCACTCAGTGCGAAGAAGCGTCTGAGTGCTGGGCTTATTTTGAAAGTGGAAGCAGGACTGGGTGAGCTTTCCTATATTTGATGAGTCTCTGTCTAGGATCCGTGGGAACACATTTGCTGTCAGCTCTCATGGCGCTGGTGGCTGTGATGTGACCTCCAGGAAGTGGGTGAGGGCGAGCCAGGGGTGCTTCCGCTGTGGCGCTTACAGGCCCTTCCTTCCCTGAGGCCCAGGTTACTGTCCAAAGGGGTGGGGGGAGGGGGAGAGGTCTGGCCTGAAGAGGCGCTATAGCTTATACCGTGAGATGTCCTCAGGGCTCTTGCTCCAGGCGACTTTGTCCCCCACTGAGCTTCGAAGTTCTTTCCGCACAATGAAATACAACCCGGTGTCCACTGCGAACAGAAGCCCCACCACCAGGCAGAAAGCGATTTGGGGCCACTGTAGAGAGGACCACGAGACGGATGGAACAGGCAGACCTATTAGAAGAAGCAGACGGATGGAGAAAGGACAGATGTTAAAGCAGAAATTTGGAATCAACAGTCAAGAAGGGCCCAGTGCTCCCTTTGTGAAGTCCTCCGGGCCCGGGACCAAGGCTCCGGTCAGGAGCAGACAGGTGGGAAGTCTGCAGAGCACCTCTTCACCTCTGGGCCTTCTCAAATATAGCACTGTCCGCACTCCCAAAGGGTGATGGTGCACATGTCTGTTTGTAGGGACACTGACAGCATCAAAGGAATTCAGAGCAGTCTCCCCTAACTGTGCCACTTTGGCATGTGGATATTTTGAGCTGAAGGCAATCGAGACCTTATGGGCTCACAGGAAACTCTTACCTCTCCCTTAACCTGTTAACCGGGGAATTCCCTTTTTAATTACGCAGCATATAACGGGCGCAAACTGGTGTAAATACGTCCCGCTCGGTTAACAGGTTAAAGATTTCAAATTAGGGCCCTTGCCTATAGTAAGAGTTAGCACCAGGAATACCATTTTATGACCTACCTGGAGGGCAGGACAAACTACTAATTACTGAACATCTGCTCTTCTCCTTGTCCAGCAATGACCTTCTTCCCCTCTGAAGCCCCAGGCGCCTGACCTCATCCTGAGCTCAGAATGTCCTATGTCCCTCATCTTCTTGGTCTGTCTCTGATTCTCTCTTGTCTGTGGGGTTCCATATGTACGTATGCAATTAAATTTGCTCATCTTGCCCTGGCCGGTTTGGCTCAGCAGTTAGAGCGTCGGCCTGCAGTCTAGAGAGACCCAAGTTCAGTTCCTGCTAAGGGCATGTACCTCGGTTGCAGTTTGTCCCCGGCCTTGGTTGGGTCGTGCGGGTGGCAGCCACTTGAAGTGTCCCTTCACATTGATGTTTCTCTCTTTCTCTCTTCCTCTCTCTCCCTCCCGCTCTGTCTGAACAAAAAATGGAAAAATGTCCTCGGGTGAGGATTTAAAAAAAAAATCAATGAAAAAATATCCTCGGATGAGGATTAACAAAAAAATAAATAGGTGTTTTTTTTAAAAATGTGCTCATTTTCTTGTTCATCTATCTCATGGCAATTTAATTATTAGACCAGATGAGTTATAGAGGAAAAGGTTTTGTGGTCATGTAGGTTTGGCAAATGCCTTATGAAACTTGGTTTAAAAGTTTTCTTTACAACCAGGATTCTTGAATATAAATGGGTCTGGGGCACAGCCTTGGGGGAACAGTGAATTAGGGAACCCACAGACCACAGCGCTCCCCTCACCACTTCCTGAGCCCAGGACTGGGCATGTTCCTGACCAACACTGGTCTGGCGGAAACAGATTGGAATGCTCCTGAGGGCACGCGCGATTTCCAGAGGCACAGTTTCTCGAGGACAGACAGAGGCCTGGCCCTCTGTACGTGGAGGGACGGTCACACCACAGGGCTGCCTGAGCCGAGACCAGAGCCCAGGCTGGGAGGATCCGCAGGGAGACACAAACCTCAGAATCCTACAGACAGAGGGGCATGAGGAAGCGGTGTGTCTGAATGAGGTGGAAACGAGGGAGGGTGGTGATGTCTCCAGATGGATGTGAGAGGATGACAAGGTGGCCTGTGTCCCCTGAGAGTTAAAACTCCAAGCGAATGACGCCATTTCTACAACCCCGTAGGCACGAGCAGACCGAGCTGCAAGTCCACTCGGCATCAGGTGGAGCTGGGACTCTGCGGGTTCCCGGGGATGTGACAGAGGCCCACCCGGGAGAACACGCCCCACCACCCATCTTTCCAAGGCCTGAGCCCCTTCAGCAGCCGGGGTTCCCACCTTGGACAGTGATGCTCACGGGCTGTGATGTGTATAACAACTGCCCTACGAATGCTGAGCAGTAGTACTCGCCACTGTGATTGGCGTTTGCTCGCGGGATGGAGAAGCTGGAATTCCGGTGGGAAAACTGCTTGGACTTTCCATCCTGGTAGAATGTGATCTTGTAGAAAGACCAGTTCCTCCAGGTGTGGCACCTCAGCTCGATGGGGTCCCCCTCCTGGAACACCAGGCCAGGGGTCTGGAGCAGCAGCCAGGCTGAAAGACAGGAAGAAGGAGCGGCTGGAGGCTGGACGCGGAGGCCCCTGCGGCCCTGCCCGCGGCTGCAGCCCCGCAGGTGCAGGGCGCTGGGCCAGCTCGTGGCGCACGTGGCTCTCTCTCCCCAAACCCGCGCTGCCTGCGAGCCCGCGGGCCCTGAAGGAAAGGGGTCTTCACAAGTGTCCCAAAGAGCAGGAACCGCCGCGGCAGGGGTGGGGCAGCGGGGTCCGCGCGTGCTGGAGGGCGGGGGTCACGGAACAGGACCCGAAACCCTCCGTGTGTGCGGACTCGGCGTTCCGTCTGCGGCCTGCTGACCCCTGGCGACTTCTGGACCCGCTGTGGGAAGTGTGGGGGCAGCCGGAGGAGCCCGTGCGGCCTCCCCCACCCTGAAGGGAACCTTCCATCCCCAAGAGCAATGAGATGTGTGAGCTTCTGAATCCAGCGATGCTGAACCAGGGGAACATGAACACAGGTTTCACGCGTGAAATCAACCTTCCCACCCGGCTCACACACACCCCACTCGTGCCACCCCTCCCTTCACTGCCGCAGAGGAGTCAGATTCCAACATGCAGGTGCTTTGCGAAGCAAATCTATAATGGTAAAGAAAACAAAACAAAAAACCTTACTAGAAAAAATCGAATTGCTCTAATTACTATGAAAATAAATACTAGAATTGATTGTACCTTACTTAAATGAAAACCTATTTAGGAAAACCATATTCTGAATACGAAAGACAAGGTATATTTGAGAGACAGCCTGAAGGAAATCTGAAGTGAGGCTTCTGACTCGGGCATTTACCCTGAACCTCTGGGCCCTGAGATCACCCGGCTTCACTTATTTTACAGTGAAGGGCGGGGACCAGGAGGTTTCCCTCTAACCACCCTTCAGAGCCAAGTTTATTTCATCTCAATGTTTACATTTTTAAAGGAAAAGTTAGAAGAAGCACGACCAGCTGTTTGTGGGCAGCGGTGGACAAAGACCAGGCGGGTAGCTGTGATGTCACTGGGCAGGTTTTAAGGTTGAGTCGGGGGGGGGGGGGACCCCTTTCTACCCTTCTAGGTTCTTTTGTTTGGTTAGTAATCAAAATAGACCTGAGACAGATTAACAAGAAAAAAAGTGAACAAATTTAATTACACACATGTGTACGGGAGCCCCGCAGATATAAGAGAATCAGCGACAGAACGAGAAGATGAGGGACGTTCAGTAATTAGTGGTTTTCCCTGCCCTCTAGGTAGGCCATAAATAGTTATTTCTGGTGATAACTCTAATTTTTTTTTTTTTTTTTCATTTATCTTCAGATAGAGTAGGAGGGAGAGAAACGTTGATGAGAGAGAAACACACCGAGTGGCTACCACCCACACAACCCCAACTGGGGCCAGGGACAAACTGCAACCGAGGCACATGCCCTTAGGGGGAACCAAACCTGGGACTCTGGTCTGTGGGATAATGCTCTAACCACTGAACCAAATCAGCCAGGGCTTAATTTAATTTCTGTAAGGGACAAGTAAGAGCTTCTCCTGAACTCGCTAGGTTTTCATCTTCTTCAGCTCAAAATAGTTCCCATGCCAAAGCAGCACAGCTTGGGGAGGGCTGCCCTGAACCCAAAGTCACCATGTACTCCCCTTTCAGGGAGGTCCATCCACAGAGAGAGATCCTCCACCAAGGTGTCTCTGAGACGGAGACCTTGGAAGCCACCCTTAAGCAGAGTGACGCTGCATGCTTACATGCAGCCATCTTCGGGGTGCACGCTTCAGGGTGCGGCTGAGGTCAACTGCAGTACAAATGTGCTCCCAGTTTTAGACCTGGGTGGGGCATGACTCATGTGTAGGAGGATTTCGTGCAAAGCTATGAGACTGAACATGCAGAGACAGACGTAACCCTAAGTCAGATCATGTGACTCCCTTGATTAAACCAGCTAATTAATTCTCATCTCATTCAGGAATAAAAGATGACGTCATTGCACCAAAGTCCAAGCCTCCCCCCACTTCTGCCCTCATCTTCTGGATTCCTGGCCCCCTAGCCTCCTGCCCCCTGGGCAGAGAGACCTCCTCAGGTGTGCCAGGCACCGGCTGCTGACCACACTGCCGTGAGGGCAAGGAGGTTTTCTGAAACAAAGGTTTCCTTCTGCTTCTCCACCCTCCTGGGTGGCCTGGCCACCTACTTGCTTGATCAAGACGGAGGCCACCCAACCTCATATAATCCGAGGCACACGACAGAGAAGCAAAGGTGGGGGCGGGGGCGTCGGTGAGAAGGGAAATGACTGGGCAGAAATGACTTCCAACCGCTCACAGCCATACTTCCCAGAAAATGGCCACCCCCTTTCCCAAAAACCTCAGCAGACGTCAGGCCCTCGCTTGCCTCCCAGCCCCGCCACTGACCGGAAGTCACGTCCAGATGCACGGGGTCGCTGAGGCTGGCCTGGCCCGTCTGGCACCTGTATTCCCCGCTGTCGTTGCTGCTGGCCTGGAAGCTGTAGCTGGGCTGGGCCTGGGCTGGGATGGCCGTCCCGCTGAAGAACCACTGGGTGGAGCGGTCCCCAGGGCCCTGGGCCCCCTGGCAGTTCAGAGTCACGGTGTCCCCCCGCAGGACGTTGACCCAGGGGGGCTCCAGGCTCAGCACAGCCTTCGGGAGATCCGCTGGGGGCAGAGAGCAGAAAGGGATGGGGATGAATAGCCTCGGAGGGACTGAGGATTCCGAAGGAGCTCCCGGGACGCTCTGGCCAGAGTCCATCGTAGACCCAGCCACAGACCCACGTGCTTCCAGCAGCCTCATTCCCTTTGTGTCTTCGGGTGTTTGTGGATCCAGGAGTCTTACCGAGAATCAAACCCCCAGCCCCGCTAAAAAGGGGGAGCTGCCCTTGCTGAACCCAGGCCTGGTTCCTGGTGGAACAGGCAGTAAGACCGAACATCCGAGGTGGCGCCCAGCAGACTCACCAGCTCCCCGGTCTGAAAGAGAAGAGGGCGGATCAGTGTGGGGCCGGGAAGCCCAGGGAGCAGCGGTAACGGTGGGAGCTGGGGTGAGCCAGCTCCTCCCCGGGGCCCATACAGGCACGTTTCCCGGGATGTCGTTCCGGTGCCCAGTGCATGCCCTCCTCTCACCCCGTCTCCCCACAGGCTACATGAATGTTTGGTGCAGGGACTGGGGAAGGACCTCTGAGCTCTGACCTCAGGGACCAGCGGACGGGTGAGAAGTCGCGGTTCTCTCTCCCCTACCATCTGTCCCCTGCTCCCAGGGCTCTGGCCTGCTCACCACACAGGTCCCAGTGGCTGAAACCGCCCTGCCCCGGAATGACCCCTACTCACCCAGCAGCAGCAAAACTAAAACTGTCAGTTGTTGGAGCAGCCACAGGCTACCGGGGTGTAGGTTCTGAAGCATTTTGGTCCTCCAAGTCCACCCCGAAGTGGGCCCGAGTCCAGTGGGGTTTAGAAGAGGAGCCAAGGAAAGAGGAAGGAAGCCGTCTGCCCTGTCACACAGCTTTCATCAGCCACCAGCCTTTGCTTCAGCTGAGGCGTCAGCGCCACAACCCAGAGCATAAGTGGTAAGTCACGGAGTTGAGTCTGCTTCACAGATTAGGGATCTCCCTTTCACAGGTCAGCTTGTTTCGTGCTTGTGAAAACCCTGGGGTGGGGGGTGTTACTGTGCTGGTAGAAACCAGGAAGTGTCAGGAAGGGGGGGGCCTCCACCCAGTTCCCAGTTCAGTGCCCCCAGGACGCCCCTGTGCTGCCTCTCAGACCCAGACCCAGAACGTCCTACATGAGTTTTGACCCAGACAAGATAAAGAAACCCATTTATATCTGCATTTATATGAACCCATTTATATTTGGTTGTGGTTGTTTAACATAAGGATCTATGAACAACCACAACCTAATGGGGGAGTTATCGGGAAACACCCAACCCGAGAAAATCTTTAAATACACGACCGTCCTTCCTTCATGTGCTCTTCACACCCCTGACTCCTCTCAACCCTCCAAACACAAAAGGAAGAAGCAATTTTGAATCTGAATTTCAAATTCAAGAAGTAATTTTGGCCCTGGCCGGTTTGGCTCAGCGGTTGGAGCGTCGGCCTGCGGTACAGAAAGAAGTAATTTTGTTAGGAAAGCCGCAAAGTAATTTCCAAGGGTATATATGCTGTGTAGTGTGACGCGGTACGGCAACATGATATGATGGTTAAAAGTCAGATCATGGGGGTGACAATAACAAACACAGAGCTTCAGAGTGCAAAGATACCCTACAGAATGTGAGAAAACATTTGCAAGTCATTGTCTGATGCATTTAATATCCATAATATGTAAAGAAATCCCACAACTCAACAACAAAAACAAGTAACCTGTTTTATAACATGGGCAAAATACATGAATAGCTATTTCTCTAAAGAAGATCTATAAATAGCCAACAAGCACATGGAAAGAGGCTCAATATCACTAATTGTTAGAGAAATGCAAAGCAAAACCACAAGATATCACCTCACACAAAACATTAAAAAAAAGCAAACCAGAAAACAACGAGTGTTGGTGAAGACACTGGAAATCTTGTGCACTGCTGATGGGCATGTAAACTGGTGCAGCCATTATGGAAATCAGTATGGAGATTTCTTCAAATAATTACAGATAGAACTACCACATGACCCAGCAATCCTACTTCTGGTTATTTATTCAAAAGAATTCGAAGCAAGATCTCAAAGAGATATTTGCATACTCGTGCTTATCGCAGCCTTATTCACAATAGCCAACCCAAATGTTCACTGACAGATGAATGGATAAACAAAGACGGGTCTATACCTACAATGAGTGGAACATTATTCACCAGGAAAGAAGGAAATCCTGCCTGTGGCTACACCATGGACAAACCTTGAGGACATTATGCTACGTGAAGTAAGCCAGTCACAAAACAGCAAACACTGTCTCTGCAGCATCTGAAGTAGTCAAACCCATGGAAACAGAAAGTAGAAGGGAGGTGGCCAGGCTCTGGGGAGAGGGGAAGGGAGCACTGTTTTGTTCAATAGGGACAGTTTCCTTTCCAGGAAGAAGTTCTCCAGGTCTGCGGTGCAGCGATGAAACAGACTTGACACTTCTGACCGCATCCTCAAACATGGCTAAGACGGTGAGTTACACGCTCTGTTGTTGTTTTAACCACGGTTTAAAATTTTTTTGTGTTTGAAGGCAGACTGTGGGATTTCAGACAAGGTTCTCAGCTCTCAAACCTCAATTTTCTCATCCATGCAATGGGCACTGTCTGGTACCTAAGTAAAAGATCAATGACAAGTTATTTTCAGCCCTGCCTGTTTGGCTCAGCGGTCAGAGCGTCGGCCTGCAGACCCGAGTCCCACGTTCGGCTCCCGCTAAGAGCACGTACCTCGGTTGCAGTTTGTCCCCGCCACAGCTGGAGTCGTGTGGGTGACAACCACTCCATCTTTCTCTCTCTCTCTCTGTTTCCCCCTTTCTCCCTCCCCCTCTATCTGAACATAAATGCAAAAATGTCCTTGGGTGAGGATTAAAAAAAAAGTTCTTTTTATTTCTAGGAGTGTTACCAAGGGTTTTTAACTTTGAGTTTTTCTGGATGCTTGACTCTCCTTCCCCCTGTGATCAAAGCATGATGATCTCATCTTTCTCTCTCTTAGTCAGAGATCATCCCAGAGCTTTCGGACTTCCAGAAGTCCCAGCCTGAACGCCTTTGCCCCTCTCTGGGCTTCTGTGCATGCAGAAGTTTGGCACGAAGTTTCCTCTTTGGGTGGTAACATGGTCACTTGCACATGTACAACTGTCTGAAACGTTCTTTATCCCAGCTTTCTTTCTAAGGTCCTTTGGGATTATCTGGTCCGCATGACCTGGATTGCTCATTCTGCGTTATCACAACCCTCATCACAGCTGTGCTTATCACTGACTGTGATGGAAATGTTGCTGCTACCATTGGATCTAGGCGGTTTGAGTTAGCATCACCTAAATAATGGCCACACACTCCCACTCGCTCTGGAGGGACAGAGTGTCTGTGTTCGTACCCTGGTCCAAAATTTGAATTTATGATAAACTGTGTGGTAGATTTCTGCTTTGTAACAAAGAAAAAGTACAGTGTGACATCTGGTAACGGCTGATTCAGGTTGTTTACACTCGAATTTAAGGGCAGACGAGCCACTCATAGAATCATAAGAATAGAATGCTGAAGCCCAAACCCTCCATTTGTATAAACGAGGACACATGGCCCAGACCAGGGCTGAGAGTGGACCAGGACACACCTGTCCCCCGTGCTGAGCTCCGGGTCCTCACTGCCTCCATTCTGTCAGCTGCACTCCCACTCAAGACCGACAGGTCATCATGTCGCTCTGATGGTCTCTCCACTGTTCAAGAGTAAGATCACCAGACTGGAAATTTCTCTGGGCCAGAGATCCTAATCGATGTGTAACACTCATGTTTTCCAAATTGTGAGAGTGGGCCCAGAAGACAAGGACGCTCACAGGTTTTGAGCATCAGACTGTATTACCCTGAGTGGAATTGGGTGGGCTCAGTGACCGATTCTTCTTTCTAGTGATTGTCAGAAAGAAGGCTCAGTGTCAACTTCTCTAAAACGATACTTTGGAGGAAAGTACTTCCCTAGAGTCCAGGTGTCTTCCGTTGTCTTCCATCCTGAGCCGGGACGCGGAAGCCCTTGCGGGCAGACGCTACGGAAAGTGCACCGTTGCATCTGCACCAACGTACAAATGGGTCAGAAATGTGGTCCCCGAAGTGCAGCACCTGAGTACAGTCAGGATGACATCTACCTAGAAAGCCTCCCAAGTTATTGGTGCTCAGAGGCTCTCTGTACCCCTCACAGAACAATGTCAAGGTTCCCATTGACTGGCTGGCTTACAATACTGCTCTGCGCCTCGTGGCAGAACCAGCTGGACAGCCCAGCACACGGGGCCCTTCTGCAATGGAGATCGGTGGACGGGCACTGGCTTATTGTCAGCGAAACCTCTATGGCTGGAGGCTTATGGATTTAGAAGACAAATTAAAAATTGGGTTCAAGAAAGAGTATCAAGTGTCAGAGTCAGAAAAATCTTCCAAACAGATCATCGAGAGGATTTGAGAGTCCGACAGCTGGATTACAGATCAAGGGGAGAAAAAAAATAAAAAGTAAAACAGTAAAATAAAAGCAACAGTTCATCCCATACCTGAAGGGGGTGGTTTCTCTAGCATTTATGAAATGACAAGTCTATGTATCATTTTTCCATTAATTTCTAGGATACGTCCAGATACAACAGCCACAATATAGGAAGGCAACAGGTAATGCCGACAGCTGTTGAGAGTGGGTGCCTGGCATTTCTGTCCCAGCCTCCCTGCCCTGCAGATGGCTGGAAGGGATCATTTCCTCCGGGCCCTCCACCTCGCTGCTGACCGGCCCGTCTCAGCCCAGGAAGAGCCTTGGAGTGACCAGGTGCGACTTGTTGGATGACGGCAGGACCCTAACTGAAGGGTCAGACACTCAGGTCCTGCGACAGTAAAGCTGGGGGGGGGGGGGGGACTTGAGAGAAGTACAGAGAAGAGCAGCTGAGTGTGGTCACGCTTCCGGTGCGAGCTGCCCAAAACCGTTTCGGTTTCCCTTCCAGTTTGTCAGTGTGCGGCTTGTGTGCCTTATCTTTGGATATCTTGGAGGTTTCCTCACACTTATTTACGTCTGTCTGTCTTTACTTAATCTCGTCTGAGTGGGTTTTGTTTCCTTGCCATCAACATTTCCTTTGCTGAGGACAGTCATTGACACCTCAGAGAGAATCAGCTTCTGGCTGGGAGTTTCCTCAGGGGCAGAGGTGGAGAGGGTGTGAACCTTGGAAGTTGGGGAGGGGGTGGGGGGGGGCGTGGAAAGCTGTAAATAAAAGGCATTTAACTGACAATTTTACTGAAGGCTCATCTCATGACTTTTGGAATTTGCCTAAACAAAATAGGATTGGACAAGCTTTTCTTCTTCAAACAAAATAACTTCAGAGAAAAAAACAAACAAGCGATGTCTGTCCCAGATCTCTGTGCCATTGTCCACCTCCACTGCAGCTCTTGACTGGGATGTTCTCCTCCCAGCTCCTCAGAGCGATGAGGGCAGGTGTCCCTTCCGTCACAGAGGTGGGGAGCGCGACTCCACGGCCACTGCCTTAACCGTGGGAGGTTCCCCTGTGGGCCCACACCACCTTGGCCACCATGCCACACAATGAGCGCTATGCTTGTTCTGCTTAAGACGGGATTGCACAATTCTGCAGAAACCCATGCACCTGTCCCATAGGGAACTGAAAAGGGAAGAGTCAGGGCCTCTTCAAGGTGAAATATATATATATAAAAGTACTGTGGCAGCAAAACTCCAGTCTCTGCCTTCGTCTCCACCTCACCTGTGTGTCTCTGTGTGTCCTAGTGTCTTTTCATAGGAACACCAGTCATTAGATTTAGGGGTCACCCGAAATCCAGAATGATTTTATCTTGAGCTCCTTAGCTAATTACATCTGCAAAGACCCTAGTCCAAACAAGGTCACATTCTGGGGTTCCGAGTGGATATGAATTTTAGGGGAACACTATGAAACCACTACACAAGTGTTCAGAGTACAGTCCTTTCATGTTTGCTCTTAGTGTGAAAGTGTTCATATTAAAATGAGAAAGGTATTTAAAATCACAAGCTTGTAGAAAACAAAGTGGCGGCAGAGGGAATGGAAGCTACACAGACCGTCTCCAGGACCAAACTGGAATTACAAC